CCTGCATGGAAGTTCGGGGGCTCCGTCCACTGGCTGCTGCGGCTGCTGAGCCTGCCTTGAGGAGGCCTGACAGGTAACCCCGGAACCCTCCTTCCCCTCCGCCGGCGGAGCCTGCCTTCAGCCCTCCCCACCCCGGGCGCCGTCCGCTGGCGGGACTACAACTCCCACATGCCACGGCGGGGGGGCGAGGGGCGGTCTCTGCAGCTGGGGAGCGACGGGGGGCGGGAAGGACGGCTGCCCCGCTTCCCGGAGGGGTCCACGCTCCTTCAGGGGCGCGCCCCGCCCGCGCCCCTTGACCTCTTGGCTCCCCGCGATCACCTCTCGCCCCGTACCCTGCTGCGCTTCCTTTTTCCGTGGCTCTTCCCGGCGGATTCCAAAGGATCGTTGCTGGGCTGGGAATCTGCCCCCGACAACTGCCACTCCCTCCCTCACTCCCCCCCCCGGGAGAAGGAACCTCGTCACACCTGCGAGGGGGATACTGTCCCTTAAGGGGCTGAAGGTTTTGGGGAGCGCCGTCGCGCCCACTCAGACGGTGGACCCGGTTTGCTCCCCCTCGCCAGACGGGCGCTGACTCTCCGGAGTTTGGGGCTGGGGTCTCCTGCCCGCCTGATCTTCTGGAGATGCTGTCAGGGTCCCAGGACCTACTGAGCGTGGCGCCTCAAGCGTGCCCTCCGAGAGGCCAACTTCATCTGGTCCGCACCAACTTCTGGCAGAGAAACGAGGAGACTTGGTGCCTTAGATTGCACCGTGCGGAAAGTGGGAAGTGGAGCAGATGACTTCAGGCGCCCCAGCTCTCCCTCCGCCACTTCTCTGCTTTCTTGACCCCCTACTTTTCTCCCTTGAAAGGGCTTTTTTCCTCATGTGTGCGCTGGCTGTTGCAGTGGGGCAGGGGTGTCGGATTCTTGCGGACTCCAGCCCAAAGCTTGAGTTGGAGTGCGGTGGAGTGAACATGACAGCAATCCGAAATATCTCCTGAGCATGTGCACAAGCTGTTGCTCGCTTCCTATTGCTAGTAGGGTATTCCCTGCACTTATCTGTCGTGCTTGCTTCCATGCTGCAGTTCTTTCCTGCTTTCTTGTAACGTTAGTCAGATTTTTCTTTGTAAAGGCAGTTGTGGGGCTTTGTGGAGCTTGCTTTGAGGGTTAGCATGATGTGGGGTTGTGCTGATTGTGACTTAGTGTTACATTTGAATCAGGCCATTGAAAATACCTGGCTTACTCTGAATGATTAATGTCCCTTCTTAGCCTATTTTTCAATGGCTTAGAATGCCAATCAATTATTATAGTAGCTAGGGGGAAGAATTTTTGGTTTGCTATAGGGAAGTGACATACCTGAACATAAATTAACCACATAGGGCTGGGTTTGGCCAATATGCTGGCTAAGACATGGTTAACTTGTCTGTGGTTCAGTGTATTGTGTGAGTACAGTTAGTGTCATCTTGGGGCTAGTAGCTTTGGAGGGATTTATATAAAGTGTTGGGCTCATAAATTCCTAAATAGTTTCACTTGTTGCAGTTTCTCAGTAACTCAAACTTTTGCTTCTCTTGCCTACTTTGCTGAGGAAAACATTCATTTTGTTGCATTGTTCTACTTTGGATTAACTCTTATTTTCATTTTTAAACTAATAATTTACCCATGCATTTTGGGCTTATTTTGCCTTGTTTTCTGGGCTGAGCATGTGCACACATCCAAAACAGACGATCATATATTTTTTTATTAATATACATAATATATATAATGCTATTATTTTTTTACCATAAGCCTAAATATTAACTTTCAAAACTGGTCCAGGCTGAATTTATGATGGGCATCATGTGCTATGTAGTTGTTTTGTTTGGGCATAGAATCTTGTATGCCCCCAGTAATTACAGTTGATCATTTCTGGTCTGTCATGCGTGATTTCATCCAATTGTGAGCTGTTCAACAAACCAACCCATGTGTGTCCATTTTATATGAATCCTTAAATTTTCTTTTGTATCTCCTTAAGATACACATTTATTTATATATATTCCTAAATTATGTGTTGGGGGGGTTGTATTTCTGTAGTCTTGTTTTGTTTCTGATACTTTTTGTTAAAATTTGATTTTCTATGTTTAAAAATGAGTTGGTTTTAAAAATGCTTCTGTATTTTAAGAGACTTCCTTCTCCCTAATAACCCAAGCTTCATGTCTAATCCAACAATGTTGTTTATCTTTCAGAAATATAAGAGCTGCTATCTGGTATCTATAATGGGGGAAGTGAATTAGAAATCTCTTAGTGTAGCAAGAGGTCCACCATGGGTTTCTGTGGTAGATACTCTGAGCTCAGATCAGAATATTGACCTAAGGCTGTCCTGAAAAATGCCCACCTTTTCATTTGTTGCTCTAGAGAAGTAGAAGCTCTAACCTAATTCCTTTCTCCTATTGCACTAGCTATTTTAGTATTCATACCTTTACCTTGTACCTAGTATATCAAAGGAAATAAAAAATGATATCTCCAAGTAATTGTCATTAAAAAATGATTTCTCAGAGTGATTTTCATTAGAACTTTTTGTCACTGCTCTTTCTGGGAGCAAATAGCTATCAGTTATTTCAGCTTTTCTTCATCCTCCAGAACTGTAGATTTCAATTTCCCAGAATTCTGAGCAACAGCCACGCTGGTTGTGAATTCTGGGAACTGAAGTTACATATCTGAAGGATGACTTTCAGGCAAGGCAATAGATAGCTACATTTAGAAGTCCTACAGAATTATTTTCTAATCCATCACACAGTGCTTCTATAATTGAGCTACAGATGTAAAACATTAAATTGCTTATATACTAGGTGAGGACACTAAAGTAGAGTATTTACTTGTAGGCACTCTCCAAAAATTTTGCAGGAACAGATGTTGGATGGCATCTTCTGAAGCCAGGTGTACCATCTTTTTTGGATTGAAAGCTGCATGGGGTACATTTCAAAAAAATGAGCAGGACCAGGACAAAAACTAAATTTAACTGAATGTAGACTTATTTTAATTAATTCAAAATTAAATAATATGATTACTCCCATGCATTTCAGTGTCAACAGTATTCAAGTTATAAAGTATAATTTAGAGAGCAGGATTTGGTCTGTACATGTTTTTTTTTTTTATCAATCTCACTGAAACCATTGTTTGGGTAAAATCCAGTTATCCTGTCCTTAAGTTCTTTTGAGGATAGTTAGAATACAAACACACCAACCAGCTCTTGATCACTAACATTCAACCCATAATTACTATAATCCTTATTTCAGAATCACCTTGGGCATGAATGGAACGTGTAAGCCTTGCGCTACATGTTCTAAAATGTACCTCTCTTTCCAATTTCAGCACTGTAGTTGTTAGCGGAAGCTTCCAACTTTAATATTTCAGAAGTCTTCCAGAATATTTCATCAACACTGTATGCTGTGCCATGGTAGGACTGGAATGATGTTCTGTGATATCAGTAATGATTTTAGGGGCAGCGTTGTAATAGGCTAAAGCATAACTGAATTCTTGGGTGTCTGTGTTAATTATTGATATTGAAGATATCAGGGTTGCATATGTTCCATCAACTTCCTGCATTGTTGTGCTATTTCTAAAAAGTGCAAGAAAATTATTATTTATTTTTGGATGCAAATTAACCTGAAAAAACAACCTAAGCTATAAAGATGTTTATGTTGTGGATATAACAGACATATACTTGTATTACATATGGTTCCTGTAATCACCATTTATTTATTTATTTTATTTTATTTTATTTTATTTTATTTATATTTCAAATTTAGACACCACCCATCTCACGAGGAAGTGACTCTGGGCAGTTTACAGTAAAAACAATTAAATATCAGTTAAAGTAGAATAAAAATAGTATAAAAATACAATAAAACCATACATAAATAATATTTTCCAAGATGCTGGTGATTGAAAAGATATTAACATACGGGAGCATCTTCAAGGTGCAAGCCACCCCCAGAGTTGGTTGCCCCTTTTCTTGCCCTATGCAAGTTGGCAGATATAAGATATAAGCTGTTTATCTTGAAAATTGCTGGATGAGATCATGTGTGATTGGTTAAAAATTCTGAAAGCCATGGAGGGGGGGGGGGTTATTTCAATTTCCACTGAGAAATATACAGCATCTAAGACTTTAGTGGGCCAGACTGAGGCTCCAGGTACGAAGAGGAACGTATTTATAGATGTCTGTAAAAGGTGTGACTTTAGAAAACAAACAGTTGAGGGAAATACTTGAAAACCTCAGATTAAAATTTCCTCTTTGGGCTAGAATGGCTCCTTAATGATATGTATAAATAATTTCAAAGCTTTCTCCTCCCTCCTCCCCCCCACAACCCCAAAATCACAGGTAATTTCAATGCCTTCTCAATGGACATGAACTCTACTGGAATGCTTGGATTCACAGCAACACCATCACTAACTTGCTTTCGTCGGCCCTATTGTGAGAAGATGGCAAAAGCAAATATTATTAGAGACCTCATTAACAGGCAACTCAAGGTACCTCTTGTCTTAAAGAGTCATTGACAGTATTTTGCTAGTGGATGAGATGGCGGAGGATAGCTCTTAAAGAGGCCATCTTGGGGGCTGATTTTCTTGTTGCTCTTGTCTGTTTGTTTGTCCTCTTCATCAGAGACTGCTTTGTGTCTTTGCCAGAGGCCATGCCCAAGATGAATGGAAGAAGCTGCTGTGCCTTATTCATCCTTTTCTCATTCTTTACATCCTTAGAAAAGACACTGAACAGTTTGCAACAGACACCCCCCCCCCCCCCCCCGTTGATCCAAGGCACTCCCTTGTGCTATCGTATGTTCAGATTATTCTCCCTGGTTTGATGTGAGACTTGACAAACTGTAGTTACTGCTATTTGTAGTCTGCTTCTAATTTGCAAGCTGGTTAAACGTAGGCTGGGTGACATTTCTATGAGGTGTTTTCTAAGTTGGTTAGAAAATCATGTTGTTCAGCTGTCTTCACCAGAAAAGAATAAGAGGCCATTGCCAGACCCCATCATACTAGACAATTTTCATCCAGTATCTAACCTCCCCTTTTTGGGGAAGGTGATTGAGAAGACAGTTGCACAACAGCTTCAGAGGACCTTGGATGAAGCGAATTATCTGGATCCCTTTCAGTCAGGATGCAGACCTGGGTATGGGATGGAAATGGCATTGATCACACTTTTGGATGATCTCTGGTGTGGGCAGGATGGTGGTAGTGCATCCATTCTTGCCTTACTTGACCTCTCAGCAGCTTTCAATGCCATCGACCAGGGTATCCTTCTGGATCAACTCAAAGGATTGCGGGTGGGTGGCACAGTGTTGTGTTGGCTCACCTCCTTTCTCCAGAGTCGATTCCAGTCAGTGGTGATTGGGGAGGAAAGATCCTGCCCTTGGCCCCTACTGTGTGGGGTTCCACAGGAGTTGGTGCTCTCTCCTTTCCTGTTCAACATCTACATGAGACCACTGGGTGAGCTCATCCATCACCATGGGATAAGGTATCATCAATATGCTGATGATACTCAAGTGCACATCTCCGCTCCTGGCGATTTAAGTGATGCTATGGATGTCTTATCCTGGTGTCTGGAGGCTGTGAGGGTCTGGATGGGGAACAACAGACTTCAACTGAACCCTGGCAAGACTGAGTGGCTTTGGGTTCTGAAGCCCTCTGATTCTGGGATTATACCATCACTGGTACTGGATCGGGTTGCATTGCCCCAAACAGATCCTGTGCGCAATTTGGGGGTCCTCCTGGACTCATGACTCCTACTTAATGAGCAGATAGGAGTCGTGGCTAGGGGGGCCTTTGCACAACTTCATATTGTGCTCCCGTTGTGCCAGTTCTCGGACCAAGGGGCCTTACGATCACTCATGCCCTGGTCACCTTCCAGTTGGACTGCTGCAATGCGCTTTACATGGGGCTGCCCTTGAAGAGTATCCAGAAACCAGCTAGCACAGAATGCGGCAGCACAGGCAGTTTTGGTAGAACACACGTTACACCTCTGCTTCATGAGCTGCATTAGTTATCAGTTTGTTTCCAGGTCCAACTCAAGGTGCTGGTTCTGATGTTTAAAGCCCTTCAGGGCATGGGGCTGGGTTATTTAAGGGACCGCCTCTACCCAGTTTCATCTGCCTGTCCTACTAGATCTAGCAGAGCGGGTATGTTATGGGTTCTGTCATCTAGGAAGCTACGTTTAGCGGGACTTTTCTGCTGTGGCACCCACATTGTGGAACCCTCTCCCCCCAGAGATGAGATTGGCCTTATCACTCTTGAGTTTTCAAAGGTCCCTCAAAACCTGGTTATGTCAGCAGGCCTGGGGACCCAGGGGAGAGGTGAACTAGTGAGGTGTCTCTATTATAAACATCCCTTCACCTATTATTCTCCGTTTCTGTTTTAGTTTGTTTTTATAGTTTTTATTTTTTTAAAATAATTACTATATTTGTTGTTTTATTGGACTGTTGTATGCCACCCAGAGTCACTTTTTGTGAGATGGGCGGCCATGTAAATTTGACTGATAAATAAATAAATAATAAGGCATCAAGTGTGGTGCCCCGTTGTTTAGTCTTGAGTCCCATAATCTTCAACATTTTGACTAATGTCTTGGATGAAGAGAGAGAGGAAATTTGCAGATGACACAGAATTGGATGGGATAGCTAATGCTCTAGAAGATGGAAATGAAATAAAAAATTATCTTGGTAGGCTCACAAAAACAGAAGAATGGAATGTAATAGAAAGAAATACAAAATTCTGCCCCTGGGGAATAGAAATAAAATGCAGAGGTATAAAAGCGGGATACCTGATTTTTTTAACAGCAGGAGAAAAGGTGATCCTACAACTGCACTTGATAACAATCTGAATATGAATCAATATCTGTCTATATCTAAAAAGACAGATGTAATTTTAAGCGACATTCATAGAAGCATGATTTCCAAATCAAAGCTACCCAGAGTTTTTTGGAGTGGATGGCCATAATTAATTTAGTAAAATCATCATCACCATTATCATGGGAAATTTATCTCCACTCTGCATTGATTAGTCTCACCTTGAATACTACGTCCAGTCCTGGGTGCTACATTTCAAGAAAGATTCAGAGTCACTGGAACAGATGAGGGAAGGGCAAATTAGACAGGGCCTGGATATTATTATCTTTGAATGATTATTTTGAGATCAGAGGAATCTATCCTCTTTCATTGCATCTTGTGCTGAAGAATTATGGTGTTGGATGTTGAAAGCCCTTAAGGTTCCCTCCCTTAATGGTATCTATCTGTCTTTATAGGAAAAGGGTGCCCTCAGTTTTGAGCGACACTATCATGTTACCGACCCATTCATTCAGCGTCTGGGCCTGGAGGCAGAGCTGCAGGTAAGTTGAGGATGGTAATGGTAATGCTAGCAGAAAAAAGTTAATTTCTTGATTTGTAAGGCATTTCCTAACCCTAATGAAGGTTAATAATTCCTAAGCTTTTCTGTCTTATTTCCCCTAATTTTTTTCTTACACACTTCATTCAGATTTAACAAGTTGAAAAGATAATATGAAAACCTTAATTTGCTAATCCCCTGCCAGAAAATTGGCAACCAGTTCTTATCTTAGTGAGAAGGTTGTTAAATTTCAGCATGACTGGGCTGTTAAGCATGAGATTGTAACAGGGAATTCTGTAGTTGTCATGCATAGGCCAGTTCTTGATAAGGGTCAAGTTTAGATGTGTCAACAAATTACGTAGATTGGTCTATGTTGAATCCTTCCAGCAGAAAGAATAGAAGTGATTTTAAAAGTGAATTGGAGCAAGTAGGGGCAGAATGCCGTGTTTTCACATTCCTGGTGAAACATCAAGATCAAAAATACCTTTTCCCCAAGGGGGGGAAAAAACCAGGGAAAAGTCATTTCAAAGGGAAGGAGTAATCACTATCTAATTTATTTAAAATTATACCTCTCTTTTATTGAGATATTATGTTAACCCTGCGGCAACTATCCCAACTGGGTGCCCTTCTGATCCGTTGGATCACAGTTTCACAGTGAGAGTGAGGATGATGGGAGCTCTAATCCACATTTAGAGTTATTAGGTTGGAAAAGGCACCCAGGGCTAAGCTGACTGTACTATAATTAACCCTGGTTTAGGGGTAAAATTATATATTTTTTCCTAAAGCTAATCATGCGTAAGTCTTTAGTGCCTTATTTTATATAAGGCAAGGGTTAAAGTTTTCATCCTGTTTGCAGTACTATTATAAAAATTATCTTATAGATTTTAAGGATGTGGTTGCTGACCATGCAATTAAAAAATAACATTGAGTAAACCATGAGGTGCTCTAGAATCCATCACTTCTCTCTCTACCTCTCAGTGTAAGCCGAGATCACTTCCCATTGCCCATACATTGGCTCATATTATTAGAATCATGATATAGGAAGATTTGTTCAGAAGATACACACAAGGGCTTAGACACATTAGGATTAGTAATGGAAGCAAAGTGGAACAGCATTCACAGGTCAGAAGAATCTCTGAAAAGCTTAAAACCGCAAGAAAAATGGGACATGTCAAAATATGGGAGATTTCACTTTGTCCTTGTGTGTGTCTGTTAAATCTGAAATGGGTAAAGCTCTGACATTGTTTTTTTAGGGTCATGCTGGGTGTGTCAACTGCCTTGAATGGAATGAAAAGGGAAAGTAAGTATGTCTCTGAAAATAGGTTTGTCTCCAAAGCTAAGAGATGACAAGAGGGCCTGGGAATTTGCAGGACTACCTTCCCCAGATTGTTTCTGCCTGTCCTGTAAGATCTGATACAGTTGGCACATTATGAGTCTCTTCAGTTAAGCAGTGTGATCTTATGAGACTCAGGAGCTGTGCCCGCCCTTTGGAACAGCATTCTTCCTGAGATCCATATGGCCCTGACCTGACCCTGCTAACCATTAAGAGGGCGTTAAAGAACTTGCTGTTCCTTGCAAGCATTGGGTTAAGGCTGGGATGTGATCATGCTTCTTGTATTGTAGTTCATGTATGGAAGTTGTTGCTTCCCCAGTCCAGTGTGTTATTGGTATTTTGTATTTTTTAGTCTTTCATTGTTTTTAATCCTCTGTAAGCCACTCAGAATCACTGGCAAGTTGGTGGCCTTAGAAGTTAACCAAATAAACGATTGAATGCATTGCATAGCTTGTATCTGGGGTAGAACAGAGGAAGTTCTAACTCAAATCCTAATGCAGTGTTTCTCAATCTTGGCAACTTTAAGCTGTATGGACTTCAACTCCCAGAATTCCCCAGCCAGCATGAGAGTTGAAGTCCATACAGCTTAAAGTTGCCAAGGTTGAGAACACTGTCCTAATGAATTACCTTCCAGCCAGTTCAATCAGGTGATGCTTTTTACATTTCCAGATGCTATTTATTCATGGATTAAAAACATGAGAACAATACAACAGGCAAATTCATGTAGCCGGTAGCTTCAAACAGCTACCAGCCATGACAGCAGAATCACTGCATACAGAGAAGGATATATCACTGATTAGCAGACGAAGCCATTGGCCTCTGCTCCCTGCTTGTAACTTCCAAGATTCTTCTAGCTAGCTCTTGTTGGAAATCACATTCTGGAATAGATAGACCTTGGTTTGACCTTGAAAACCATTCTTAAATTTTTACTTCACCCAGTGCTGTGTTTGAACATTTAGGAAGGGTGACATACAGTAAGGCAGCACTTACATTAAGTATCTCCTACCGTAAGCACATGTATTGAGGTTTACATAATACAATTCAGAGACTTTGCTGAAGGTTAAGAAATGTTTTGCATGAAGAATGCAGAGCCTATGGGTTATATTTCTAAGCGCTGCAAGAGTAGGATGGCTCTTATGTTTAATTCAGGCTTTAACCTGAATACGAGAATATCCTTAGGAAACAGTAGGCACCTTCACAGAATGCCTATAGAAAACCTATATAGCCAAGGGGAGAATTTTTAATAGTACTTGCTGGAGGTGTATAGTGTTGATTTGCCAATGTTGTTAATTGGTTCCGGTTGAACGAAGTTACAAATACCATTGACAGCTGCTCCTTGAGATTTCTTTGCTGTGCTCTAGATTGTCAGATATGCACTTGACTCTAAGAGGCCTCAGCAAACAAATACAGAAAGACATGAGTTTGCAGCAATTATTTGCTAATGCTTTTGTGTCTCTTGACTTTTCAGCTTGCTGGCCTCTGGCTCCGATGACCAGCACACCATTGTGTGGGATCCTCTGCACCATAAGAAACTGCTTTCCATGCACACGGGGCACACTGCAAACATATTCTCTGTCAAGGTGGGTGGGCTTGGAGGAAGGTGGTGAAATGCTAAGGAGAGGGGACGTGGTCTTCTTAAGTAACAGGTATTTAATTTCCAAGGCAGGGAGACAGGGATGGAGTGTGCAACGAATTTGCCACAGGGCTTTCTCCAGGCCAGGCTAGTTCAAGGCATCCTTCCCAATTTGGTGTCTTCCAGATGTGTCACTTCAAGCCTCACAATTCCTATCTCTGCTGGTTAATGATTGGTCATGCTGGCTAGTGATTCGTAACACATCAGGAAGGCACCAAATCAGGGAAGACTGCTGCAGAGCAGACCTTTAGGATATACATTTAAGGAGGGAGGAAGATTAGACCAGACGTTTAATAATATGCCTACTATTTGCATGTGGAAAATCCTATTAGGATAGGGGCACAAACTTGTCTGTCTTATCTATGTAATACTCTGCAGATAGGATCAATGTGTACTAGTGGGCTCAGAGTGTATAGGATTTCAGAATATTTGCAAGTCGAAGTAGTTGGGAGTGGGGAGGGCATCCTTGGGAGAAGGAATAGAGCTGGCTGGAATAATGTCCTCCATACATATGTTGCACATTCAAGTACATTAGTTGTGTCTAGGATGAAATGTTGAGGTTAGGATGAATAGGTGCTTGACTATAAAGCCAATAATCTGTGGCTGTTGAGTGACCTGCTCCTCCAAAGATGCCTTTTTATCTGTCGGTGGGGAAGACCTTCTTGCCACTAAGAGATATTGTGCTTATTTTCTACAGTTCTTGCCACATGCAGAAGACCGGATACTTATTACTGGGGCTGCTGATTCCAAAGTGCACGTCCATGACTTAACTGTCAAAGAAACGATCCATATGTTTGGGGATCACAAAAACAGAGTCAAGCGTATTGCCACAGCTCCAATGTGGCCCAACACCTTCTGGAGTGCAGCAGAGGATGGGCTGGTTAGGTACAGATTCTCTGATGTTCTTCTGCGTAAAGTCTGGTTCACACAATATGTGGAACCCTAACGTTAGGTTAACGAAATAATTACTACGTTTGTATAAATGTTATGGCCAAACCAATAGACTGTATTGGGGCTTAAGGCCAGGATTCTCAAACTTTGCAGTACCATAATCCTCTAAAATGATTAAAACATGATTTAACTGAATGTAGAGTTGAGCAATCAACCAATCTATTGTTTACTTTTAATAATTAATTTTGAAACTCTATAATCACATGAATCAATGGCACCTTACAGCTTTATAAAATAAAACTTTCATTGGAAATAAGAGAGCAATGATTTTTTTAAAATATATATTTTAATAGGAAGGAGGAGCTTGCTTGCTTTTGCATAATTCTTATAATCCGAATTTTATTCTGCAAGTAGTCGTGGTCATTCATCATGGCCAGGAAAAATGGAGGTTTCTTTGCTTTAGTTGTTCTAGACATCTCTTAAAACGCTGCAGTTTGCAGAATGTTGGCAGGCCGTAAGTTGCTTTCAGTGCGGTATTTCCCACTGTAGCTGCAGTGATGGCATTCATGGCTCATCTTCCTTCCCCTCCACCCTCGGTGCTTATAAATCCCTCCAGTCTTGCAGTTTCCTCCTCATTGCAACCTCACAGCCCCCCTCCCTTCCCCCCTGCTGGAATTCTCTCATTGCAGAGGGAGAGTCAGGTCATATGGTCAGAGCTCTGCACAGAAATTTTGTTCCCTCCAGGCATGATTTAAAAAACAAAAAGAACACCCCAGCTTCATATACAGTTCTGGAGCGCATAGCTCCCCCACCCCCCAGTAGCCATGCTGTTGAGGGGTGGGGTGGGGAGGGAAGGCTCATTTGGTTTAAACTGTTGCAGACAGATGGTACGCAAAGCAACTTTTGCCATTAAATCCAATTGTTGTGTAGCCCTAATAAAGCCTGTCTCGCTTTCTATCAAGGATTACGATTTGGGGAGGATGCTACAAGTCCCCTGTTACACAAACTTGCAATTCTTAGTTAAATCCAATGTATTTGTGATGTGTCTATGATGCTGCTTTGTGCTACATCAAACAACTGATCCATCAAACCCATTTATTTGCTGCGATTGGCTGCAGCTTTCCAAGGCCTTGGACAGAAGTCCTCCTTCCTATTAAAATATATATTTTTAAAAAATCATTGTTTTCTCTTATTTCCAATGAAAGTTTTATTTTATAAAGCTGTAAGGTGCCATTGATTCATGTGATTATAGAGTTTCAAAATTAATTATTAAAAGTAAACAATAGATTGGTTGATTGCTCAACTCTACATTCAGTTAAATCATGTTTTAATCATTTTAGAGGATTATGGTACTGCAAAGTTTGAGAAGTCTTACCCGGACTCATGGATGACTGGGATGTTTTAATTTGGGATGTGAGGAATTGATACGTTGAGCATAAATGTGGAAAGCACGTGTCCTACCATTTTGCTATGGGCTCTTTTACCAGTCTCTGCTCCAGAGAGAGCCCACATAGTAAAAAAAATCACGAATTTTAAAGAAATGTGTCAGTGACATAGATGCTCAGTTTAATTCACTTTTCCTTGGTGGGGTCCATGTGTGATGCTGCTGCTTGCTTCTGATCTCTGGAGGCCTGCTGATACTTTCGTTCTTCCTTTCTTTCTTTCTTTTTAGACAGTATGACTTACGAGAGAACAGCAAACACTCAGAAGTTCTGATAGACCTGACTGAATACTGTGGGCAGCTTGTCGAGGCAAAGTGTCTCACAGTCAACCCCCAGGACAATAACTATCTTGCTGTGGGAGCCAGTGGGCCTTTTGTCCGGATTTACGACATACGCATGATCCACAACCACAGGTAATGGAAAGGAAGGCTGATCACTTCTGAGGTGGAAGAAGCATTCCTGTTTGAGTGTATCCAGCAAGCAGCACATCCACATTCCACATTTTGGGCAATAGTCTTTGTTTTTGAAGCTAGAACATCCCGTTTCTCTTATTATGCATCTTTTCTGTTTGTGCAATCTGAAGGTGTCGGCAACCTCTTTGGAAGCCTGAAGCCTTCTAGATGAGCTCTGGTGTGAGTGTGTTGGCTTTAGGAGGAATCAGAGCTTCTTTGAAAGCAGGAGGGGGGAGCTGTATCCTCCTGTACTGCCCTTTTCATGGGGAGAGCTCCACCTCACCGACAACACCATTTGCATGGGATTTTTCCTCTTCCTTTTATTCTGTGTAAATGTGTTTTCTTATAAATTTTAACTATATATTTATTTAGTTTTTTAAGCTGTGGAAAGCCGCCCAGAGTCCCCCATTGGGGGGAGATGGGTGGGGATAAGTTTGATAGATAG